TACAGGAAGCCCGAGGCAGAGTTGCTCTGCCCCAGGCTTCCTGGAATCAGCCGCTGATCAGTTTCAGCAGCAGCTGACTTGGGGACGCCTGGGTTTCTTAAGTTGAATCTGTATGTAAGTCAGAACTGGCGTCCAGATTCAGCCGCGGTTGAAACTGATCAGTTTCAGCAGCGGCTGACGCCAGTTCCGACTTACATACAGATTCAACTTAAGAACAAACCTACAGTCCCCATCTTGTACGTAACCCGGGGACTGCCTGTACAATACTTGTTTGTATACTTTCAGTTTGATTTTAATTAGTACAATATTTGGCTATTCAAACCCTTCAGGATTCACTTAACCAGTGAAACTCTGCATTTTATTTCATTGGGTAAGGTAATGAATTGCATCTTTGCTTGCAGGCTTTCGTTCTATACACTCTCCAGTAGAAGGTATCAGAGGGGTAGCCGTGTTAGTCTGGATCTGCAAAGTATTTATTTTACCAACATAAAATAGGAGATCTACATTACACACTTCACTTCTCTACAGAGGAAAAAAGACTGTAAGCTGTCTAAAATACTCCCTGCCACATGGGGCCACAACAGTGGTACCCCTAACTCACCCAGAAATATCGTCAATCTATCCAACTACACCCTCAGACCAGCAGAAGAGTCTGTCCTATCTTGGGGACTCTCTTTTTGCCCCACCACCCCCACAAACATGACACAGTTCAGCAGTGATCTGGAAGCCTACTTTTGCCATCTCCGACTCAAAGAATACTTTCAACACAACACTGAACAGTGCACTGACACACAGATACTCTCCCACCAACAGCACAAGAAGAAGAATTCCACATGGACCCCTCCTGAGGGTCGAAATCACAGTCTGGACCTATACATAGAATGCTTCCGCAAACATGCACAGGCAGAAATTGTGGAAAAACAGCATTGCTTGCCTCATAACCTCAGTCATGCAGAATGCAATGCCATCCACAGCTTCAGAAACAACTCTGACATTATAATCAAAGAGGCTGATAAAGGAGGTGCTGTTGTCATCATGAACAGGTCTGACAACCAAAAGGAGGCTGCCAGACAACTCTCCAATACCAAATTCTACAGGCCACTTTCTCAGATCCCACTGAGGAGTACACTAAGAAACTGCACCATCTGCTCAGGACACTCCCCACACAGCACAAGAACAAATCGACACACTCGTAGAGCCCCAACTGGGGTTATTCTATCTACTACCAAAGATCCACAAACCTGGAAATCCTGGATGCCCCATCATCTTGGGCACTGGCACTCTCACTGCAGGACTGTCTGGATATGTGGACTCTCTACTCAGACCCTACGCCACCAGCATTCCCAGCTATCTCCGTGACACCACTGATTTCCTGAGAAAACTACAGTGCATTGGTGATCTTCCAGAAAACACCATCCTAGCCACCATGGATGTAGAGGCTCTCTACACAGACATCCCACACATAGGTGGAATACAAGTTGTCAGGAACAGTTTCCCTGATGATGCCACAGCACAACTGGTGGCAGAGCTCTGTGACTATCCTCACACACAACTATTTCAGATTCGGTGACAATATATACCTCCAAACCAGTGGCACCGCTATGGGCACCATAATGGCCCTACAATATGCTAATATTTTTATGGCTGACCTGGAACAATGCTTCCTCAGCTCTCGTCCACTAACGCCCTTCTCTACCTATGCTACACTGATGACGTCTTCATCATCTGGACCCATGGGAAGCAGACTCTGGAAGAATTCCACCACGATTTCAACAGCTTCCACCCTATAGGCAAACTAGGCAGCCGCCTAGGGCGCCAAGTTGCATGGGGCGCCAAATTCCAAACCCTGCCCCTTCCATTTCCCATGCCTTACCTGGAGCACGGCTTCCCTGCGGCCAGGAAGGGGGTATGTCTTATAGACTCAGACTTTAAGGTCAGAAGGGACCATTATGATCATCTAGTCTGACCCCCTGCACAATGCAGGCCACAGAATCTCACCCACCCCTCCTAGAATAATCCTCACCTATATCTCAGATATTGAAGCCTTCAAATACTTTAAAGACCCCAGATGCAGAGAATCCTCCAGCTGTGATCTGTACCCCATGCTACAGAGGAAGGCGAAAAACCTCTAGGGTCTCTGGGAGAGGCAGCTCGTAGGGGGGTTTCCCCTGTGCTGTCGGGGTGGGGAATGAGGTTTACCAATGTCAGAAAAACCCTGCATTCTTTCAATTTTATTTTGAAAGAGCGTGATTGCAGTGTGGATGTAGCTGAAGTTTAACCCTGTAGTCTAGATTCACCCTAACTGAGCAACTTTAAAGCGGAGTCTGTTCCAATTTGCAGAGGAGAAGCCTCTTCTCTGTCAATTTGAATACTATAAATTCAACCAGAACTTTATAGATCTACCTGAACAAAAGAAGATTGGGGGAGGGGCACCGACTGCATGGTTCGCCTAGGGCGCCAGTTGCTGGCAGCTAGTCTAGGACTGCCCCTGCTTCCATCCCACCATCAACCTCAGCCTGGACCAGTCTACACAAGAGATCCACTTACTGGACACCACAGTGCAAATAAGTAACGGTCACATAAACACCACCCTATACCGAAAACCTACTGACCGTTATACCTACCTGCATGCCTCCAGCTTCCATCCCAGACACACCACACGATCCATTGTCTACAGCCAAGCACTGAGGTACAACCGCATCTGCTCCAACCCCTCAGACGGAGACCAACACCTACAAGATCTTCACCAAGCATTCTTGAAACTACGCTACCCGCACGAGGAAGTGAGGAAACAGATTGACAGAGCCAGACAGGTACCCAGAAGCCTCCTACTACAAGACAAGCCCAAGAAAGAAACCAACAGAACACCACTGGCCATCACCTACAGTCTTCAGCTAAAACCTCTCCAACGCATCATCAGTGATCTACAACCCATCCTGGACAACGATTCCTCATTTTCACAGGCCTTGGGAGGCAGGCCAGTCCTCGCCCAAAGACAACCCGCCAACCTGATGCAAATTCTCACCAGCAACTATACACTGCAGCACAGAAACTCTAACTCAGGAACCAATCCCTGCAACAAACCTCGGTGCCAATCTGCCCTCATATCTACACCAGCGACCCCATCACTGGACCTAACTAGATCAGCCATACTGTCACTGGTTCATTCACCTGCACATCTACCAACTACGCCATCATGTGCCTACAATGTCCCTCTGCTACATACATCGGCCCAACTGGACGGTCCCTACATAACAGAATAAATGGACACAAATCAGATATTAGGAATGGCAATATCCAAAAACCTGTAGGAGAACACTTCAATCTCCCTGGACACACAGTGGCAGATTTAAAAGTAGCCATCCTGCAACAAAAAAAATTCAAGACCAGACTTCAAAGAGAAACTGCTGAGCTATAGTTCATCTGCAAATTTGACACCATCAGCTCAGGATTAAACAAAGACTGTGCATGGCTAGCCAAGTACAAAAGCAGTTTCTCCTCTCTTGGTGTTCACACCTCCACACCAGCTGCTAGAAGTAGGCCTCACCCTCCCTGACTGAATTAACCTTGTTATCTCTAGCCTGCATATTTATCCCTGCCTCTGGAAATTTCCACTAAATACATCTGACGAAGTGGGTCTTTGCCCACGAAAGCTTATGCTCCAATACATCTGTTAGTCTATAAGGTGCCACAGGACTCCTTATCTCTTTTCCACTCACTCTTCTGTATCCTTACCCCAGGCCAGTTCCCTCTTGAGATGGCAATTCCTAATGTTGGGAAATCCTGGAGGATGTTTTTTTCATACTCCTGTGTCAGAGCTAATGAGTGCTATCTGATCTGGTCGTCAGACTGAATGACTAGAATAGCTTTGCACTTCTACACAGGTGGAACCACCTTCTTTTTCTTTAAGCATGTTTACTTTTTGTACATTTGCCATGATCAAAGTAGATTTCTGGCAGATCAGAAATCATGCTGCTGTTCCCTTTCAGAGGCTGTGTCTAGACTGGCAAGTTTTTCCGCAAAAGCAGCTGCTTTTGCGGAAAAACTTGCCAGTCTAGACACAGCCTCTGAAAGGGAACAGCAGCATGATTTCTGATCTGCCAGAAATCTACTTTGATCATGGCAAATGTACAAAAAGTAAACATGCTTAAAGAAAAAGAAGGTGGTTCCACCTGTGTAGAAGTGCAAAGCTATTCTAGTCATTCAGTCTGACGACCAGATCAGATAGCACTCATTAGCTCTGACACAGGAGTATGGCGTTTAGATTGGCACGGACACTTTTCCGCAAAAAGTGCTTTTGCGGAAAAGCGTCTGTGACAATTTAGACATTCTTTTCCACAAATGCTTTTAACAGAAAACTTTTCCGTTAAAAGCATTTGTGGAAAATCATGCCAGTCTAGACGTAGCCAGAGAGAATGTCACAGGAGGAGCTCATAATTGCAGGCAAGTTCTTGGCACATGACTCATTGATCTGTCACTTCCACACAGTATAAAATACAAAAGAGTACTTATTATAACCCGTGTGTCTCATGGATCAGATTCAGAGGCTTAATCAAAATGCCTACAACAAACCTAATTGCAAACTATTTCATGCATTATACCACTAAAAGAAGGAAAATTAGAAATGACAGCTACTTACAGCAGGACCAGGAAGGCCTCTTTCCCCTTTCTCACAGTTACATGCAGAAGCTTGGGGACACTGAATAAAAATGTTCACAGCAAATCAGTACACTTAAATGGGTTAGCCAGAAAACATTGTCACATTTCTTTTCAGCTCAGTTACTTTACAAGCACCAATGAATTACTTCAGCAGAATAAACAAGTTTGTATCTTTTAATTGCAGTTACTTTGCCACTCATGAGTAAAGTGAGCATCCTACCCTCAAGTCAAGAAATCTTTTTCACCATACCACATCATCATGACTTTGCCACAACCCCATTGTAAGGGATTGTATGTTGTTGTGCAGGATGGAAGGGAGGGAAGAATGTAGTAGCTCCTTCGATGCTAAACCTTCCTTATACAACTTCCTGTTATATGGGTAGCTGATACAGAGGAGTAAGGGAATACCATACATCTTTACACCCCCCCTTATTCCACTGTGTGGGCATGCAGGATAGATCATAATCTGGCCCTATATAAAATGGATAAACAAAGCAGTTATACTCACATTAATATCATCTAATTAATAAATTGTAATACATTTCCCTAATTTTCTCTTTATCTTGAATGTATATTATGCTAGCTGATTACTGTTCCACAGTGATTATATGTGTTACTTTTTTATGCTTTCATCCCCTAAGAATCTCAACACATGAAAAAATTGTTTATGTTTTTTTAAAATTATTTATTAAATCTCTATTCAACTTAAAGATTTACACAAGTGGGTATCACAAGCATCACTCTTATCTGAATATCCCAGATCATGTGCCTCCCAAGGACAACAGCATGTAATCCATTTTAAGATTTTGTACTGTCACTCATCAACTCCATAACTGAATGCCTAAAGGGAAATTTGATTAGCATAGCAAGGTTATAGGAAGCTTTTCTTAGAGCAGGGATTTTTTGGAGGGGGCTATAGAGGAAAAGTTACTGTCAATGTAATTTTTAGTATAGTGTTGTGTGTTTGGTTCTGATAGCTTTCCTTTTCTCTGTCTTTATTTTCAACCCCATTAATTGTGCATAGGCCTGGAAACCATCAGTTTTGCCTTATACATCTCTGTAGATATGGAACAGCATATTAACATGACCTGCAAAAGCCAATGTAACCTAACTTGTTTAAAAATCCATTTTATGCTCTTTGCCTCTTTTATGGTCTTTCTCATTATCCAATCTATGACTGCAAAAAGATAGTGGGTAAAATAAGACATCCTTGTCTGACACCTGTAGTAATCCTGAATAAGAAACACCAATAACACATTCTGAGACAGACCTAGAAGAATTCTGATATTTCACATATTTTGGCAGAATTGTAAGTACCCCAAGTAAAACAGGAGCAAAGACTTTACAGACAGAAAGGCAAAAGCCAGATCTGCCTTTGTAATGCTAAAGCTGATCTAGAGACACAGACAGTTTGTCCTCCAAACTAAAAGAATAACTAATACCATGGTAAAGTTGGTCTTACTCTATGGTCCTGAAACTTAAAGTCTCTTAAGAACTTACTATCTAATCTCCAATTTTTAATGAACAGATATCTTAAACAAAACCCATCAGATGGCTAGGGAAAAAATCACAACTGAAGAACTCTAGAAGAGGATGAAACAGAGGCTGACAGGATAGGAGAGTACAGAATGAAGATGGAGCTGGCCATGACGTACATGGAAGAAAGACACAAATAATGTAACAAGGCGGTGGACTGGAACCAGTGGTGCAGGAACAAATTTTTATAGTAGGGTGCTAAAGGCCATTCAGCAAAACTATAAACCCTGTATATAATGGAAACAATTCCACTCAAGGGGTGTTCCTGTACCCATGGCACTCCTCGCCCCTGCACCTATGTCTGGAACCCCTAGGGGAAAAAAATGGCAAGGTATGCCAACACTTTGGGCAGGCGGCTGGACTTGATCACTTCCTGAGGTCTCTTCCAGTCCTGTGATTTTATGATAACATGGAAATGAAAATAGAGGCAGAATTGAAAGCTATCAAAATGACACGGGAAGAAGCTTAGACTCCAGGAAGGGATCAGTAAAAGATTGAAGGCTGTGGTGAAGGTTGTATGTTTCACATGGAATAGAGAGGCATTATATAAATTGTGTTTGTTATTCAAATATAAATATATTACTGTTAGATTTATAACAGAAATAAATTTCACTATATATCTAATAGTTAAGAGAATATATAAACTTATGGAAACATTTAACTTTATCTGATAACACCATATATTTGAAATATTGTTCCACTTGGAAAATGTAAAGTATGTCAGGTCACAGAAATCTGTACTTTTTCTAATTCCTATAAACTATTGAAATTTAAAAAGAAATAAAGGCTCCAGTCCAGCAAACACTAACACATGAAATTTTATGCTTTGTTACAACTCACACGAGTAGTCCCATTGTTGTACAGTATCTCATTATCAAATCCCTGAGTTATCTAGTCCCTCATACATTATTGTGTCACATATTTATTACATTACATATGCTATTTACAGGACAGCATGATTAAAAAGCAATTCTGATATTTTGTTTTCTGTGTAGAATTAATACTTACCCCTTCTTGAGCCAGATCTTTCTGTGAAGATAGATATTGAAAACAACATTACAAACTACATGTCATAGAAGAAAAAACGCATGTTGCTAGACACAGGGTTAGAATGCTAAGAATGTGGTTTTTATCTTTAATTGAAATTAATGACATAATTTCAAGCTATTAAAATAATTCCACCAAATTTTCTATTGCAGTTTCTATTCTGTAATGTTAATCCATTCATAAACATACACACTCTAACCTTTGTAGTTAAACCTATGCTGTCGGAAAGTCTGCTATGAGTTCAATAATGTAGTAAGTATACAGCAACAGGTAACTATAATTAACTAGTTAGCAACAGTCCCAAATATATTGACTTACATTTTATAACATAGTGGAAGAGATTTAAGGTGCATCTACACAGCACTCTAAACTTGAAATAAGATACGCAATATGCAAAGGACCAATTGCATATCTTATTTTGAATCTATTTTGAAATAGCTTATTTTGAAATTTATCATATCTACACAGTGCCAAATTTTGAAATAACATGCTATTTTGAGACATCCGTTAGCCCTTGTGGAACGAGGGTTACCAGGATGCTGAAATAACGTGCCTATTATTTTGAAAAATATTTTGACATAACAGGCACCTTGTATAGATGCAGGGTAGCTATTTTGGGCATACCTTTGGTATCCCAAAATAGCCATACATGTAGACGTACCCTTAGACGCATACAGCTTGTTTCAAAGTTTGCTTAAATCAATGGAAAGATTTCCATTGTTTTCAATGGACTTTTGAGTCGGTGCCTAGAGAAGAGTTGTGAGGGAAACTCTGTTGTGAGGGAAATATCTATAGTGAGTCACTGAGATATAGGTCCAGATCCTCAAAGTTATTTAGATGCTGAACTCCAAATGATTTCATGGGCAATGGAACAAGGCAATAACTTATGCTATGGCATGCTCTCAAGCTTGATTATTTTTAGGTGTCATTAGAGCAAAGTCTAACCTTTCCTATCTGATGATATACTGAAACATTTCTAATTCATTTACTAAGAGTTATGAGTTTCACAACAAGTTGGTGTGAATTGTACACCTGCAATCTGCCAAGACTGATGTGCAGAGTGTAGATATTGCTGAACTGTCACCGGCAAATGTGTAACTTTCATTTGCACAATTTTGTAGTTGTTTATTGCGCTTGACAGAGAAACCAAGATAAAGCATTCATATTGTAGATTTTCAAAAAATCAATCAGGGAAACCTGATTAAAGCAGTGTGTTTACCCCAAACCAGAGTGGTAAAGCTTTTTTGGGTTAGGAGCAGCTGACCCACAAGAAAATCAGTCAGGGACCACACACAAGTGAGAAGCAAAAAACAAAACAACCCTCACTGACATGACCCCTGACTGAGAACAAGAAAGACACTCCCCACATTTCCCTCACACACCAGAGCTTAGGGGGGCCCACGCTAGTAAAATTTGTGTGCTCCAGCCCTACAGTGGGGTAGCGGGGGAGCTGGAGCACCAGCACAGGCTCCCCAATGCTGGGCAGGGAGTTCTGAGCCTTGGGGGCTGGATCCAGGTAAACCAGAGGCCCGATGTAGCCCCTGGGCCTTATGTTCCCCACCACTGCCCTAAGCCATAAACAACCTGCCAAAGAGGCATAACTCGGAATGGTATAGGACCAGGGAACGAAGCACCATTGATCAGAATAGCTTAATCTGAGAAATAGTCAAGACTGAATGAAGCATGTGCTACAGTAATAACTCCACAGAAGATAGGCCTGCTACCTCATAGTCACTGGTCTGCCTGCCTGGGCAGAGAGGCAGATTGTCAAAGTGAGTGGCAGTCAGCGTGGCTGGGTTGAGTAGTTGCTTGTTAGAATGCAATCAGGCATAACCTACACTTCTGCAGGCCCTTCAAGGTTAATTGTCAGGTTGACTATGCCAGTCTTTCTTTTTTATTGGTGTTCTCTCTAGGACGCAGACAAATGTTTGTGCCATCATGTTTATTCTGGCAAGGAAATATAGCATTCCTTCACAAGTGTGGAATATAATGCCATCTAAGTTAAGAGTCCACAACACAGTGCAAAACTTCGGAATCACATTTGCTTCTAGACTCCATGGAAGGTTCCCAAGTGGACCCTTATAGAGATTTAGGGTCAAATTCAGATGTGGCCATATCTCCATTGAAGTCTATGGAGGAATGCTTATGCCAGAGGTGAATTTGGCCCTTGTGCCTAAAACAATATCTTCTCTCCGACTTGCTGCAGAAGAAAGAACTAGAATAAAACTAGGGAGAAAAAATAAATAAAAAATATCCCCAGTATCTTGGGGCAGATTCAGCTTCTAGCATCCAGCCTGAAAATTTCCACTGAGGAGATCCATGGAGAAGCATGAGGGAACAACTAGTGCTTTAGAATGATCACAAATGGCAAATAAATGGTATCAGATTCAAATTTGGAGTGTTGTTTCTACCCATAAAATATTGATTTTTTTAAAGAACTCCAAACATTAAAAACATTGGGAAGAAAACAACTTTTTAAACATTTGGCCAGTATGTTTTTAATCCTTGGTCCATACATACCATTTCTTTCACCATTTTCTCCACAACTCCTTTCTCCTGTAGATTGAAAACAAACTTTGATGCTGGGACACTGGCCAGAAGCCGAAGCTTAGCAGCATTGGCCACCTCTTCAGCCACTCTGGTCATTCCCACCGTGAAGAATACAATTCCTTGATGTTTAGCATCAGCAGTTGCTGCAAAAATATCTGGATTTCTTGGATGGTCCACTCCATCTGTCAAGAGCACAGCTGCTTTCACACTGCCATGAGTCCCTTCAGTCATATACAGTTGTGTGAGATTGGTTATGGCATATGTTGTGTAGGTACCATGACCTATGTAGGTTATGGGAGCAATGCGGGATTTGAAAGCTTCAGGACCCTTCCAGTCTCTGAAAGTTTGCTCTATGAGAACACTGCTACTATACTGAAGTAAAGCCATCCTCCAGCTGAAAGTACGTCCGGAATTGATTTGCACTCCTTTCATACTGTTCACTGTTTCTAATACAAATTTTTTCTGTTGTTCGTGATTATAGTTCTTGGCACTTTCTGAACTGTCCAATAGAAAAGCTATTTCAAGAACACAGTCTTCATCTGGAATAAATTTGTTAGATAAGTGAGTTTAATTACATTAGCAAGTTATGTTATGCATAAAATGATCTATTTATATGTAAATACTAAGTCTTCTGGAAGCTTAAGAATACTTGCATAACAAACATAAGGATGAGAAACCTTCGGAAATTTGGCAGAGCTTTAGAGTCTATAGGACAAGGAACCATCTCAAGTTGGAAGAGATCTTCCTGGGGGAAAAGAAACCTGCTGAAAGTGGAACAATCCTCTTGCATGAGGAATGTTCTGAAGATATTTATACCTTCAACCAAAACTGCTGCTTGGTATCTTAGCAGGAGGGAACCCAGAAGATTAACTTCTGGATGGCAAGTTGGCCTGTCACAGACCTGCAGTAAGATCTTAAGCAAGTAATTTGACCTTTCTGTGCCCTTCTTTTTCTTCCTGCACTTTATCACGTGTATTTTGTGAGCTCTCTGAGGCATGCATACTGTCGCTATCTTCAGAGGGGTAGCTTTGTTAGTCTGTAACTGAAAAAAATTTAAAAAACTAATGAATAGTCTTGCAGCTAGTGTTGCCAGATGGCTGAAACAAAAATACCGAATCCCCCCCCCCCCCCAAAAAAACCCCACCAGGAAAACATTTTATTGAAGGAAAAAAAGGGGGGGATACCAAAGTTGTTGAGAAAAAAAAAAGACTCCAAGACCTGTATCACTGCTAGGGGTTACCAGGTAGTCATTTAGAAAAAAACAAAAACCTGGACATGCTTCATTGGTGGGTGGGGGGGGACAGGCCAGAAGGGAGTGATGCAGGCCAGGAAGGGGTGGGCCTGGAAACAGCTAACGGGGG